TCTAATACGGAGTATAATCTAATCTACTAGAGTACTAGGGTTGTCTTTCCAAAATAAACTGTTGACCTGCATAAATCAATTCACAATAACGATTCCTTACACAAACAAATATCATTCATGACTAAAGTAATAATGAAATCATAATTATTTATAATTGATTTTTAAATATTAGTCATATTTGTGTAAATATTTTTTTTATTTCTTTTATCATTTTCATTTCCTTTTCCTTCTTGTATGTTTTTCTCTGCATTTGCTTTTTATATGTCCCACCTTCGAGGGTTTACTGGACATAATGATGGTTTGATGGAAGTTTAGAGTTTCAGAGTAGTGAAGATGAATATGAAACCGAAGATCAACCGCCCCTAAGATTATTTCTTCCCCTCTTCCCGTTCTTCTTGTTCCTGGAAGGCAGGACCGTCTTTTAGAAGTTGCAATAAATGCTCGGCATCGGAGCCCATTTTTATAGAGGCCTCCAAAATTTTAATATGTAGTACTCTGTAGTAGTGATATGTTATTTTTTATGAATGTTATGTAATATTCCAAATCCCAAAAGGTCTAAAACATTATAAACTTATATTTCACTTAATTATCTAGACTATTTGTATTTCATTGTTAAATTTCGTAATTTTTTCATGTTTTAGAGGCGCACAATTTGCCATTTTGGAACCAGGACCTCCAAACTTATTAGACGGCCCTGCTAGGACGTCGAAGCCTCCAAGGGTAATGCTTTCCGGTGAAAAAATGAAGAAGATTACCATCCCCATTTGAGCCGATTCCATTATCCGTTCGACCTTATTGTTGGTATTCGGCGTGAGTCCAATCAAGAAGAACGATTAAAGGAAAAGAGAACCGAGCATTCCAGTCCACTGTGTGCAAGGTTACCGTGTCTAGCTAAGGTTTCAGGTTCGAAATCCGCTAGACACATTTAGGGGAGAGGGGGGAGGTCTTGCTCCCAATGATTCTTCCTATCTTCACGGAGTTGCTCACCGGCTAAGAAATGAGGGGATGGAAATTCAAGTTCGAGTTCACGTGGTGGGAGGACCATTCTAGATTCAGTTGCACGGTTACGGCCCTTCTGGATTTAGTTGTATAGCAACAATCCTGCTGGATTCGTCATGTACTACCGGTACCAACGAGACTGGTTGTGATTATATCCGGATTTAACTGTCTAGAGACTTTGGAGGGTAGTCAACAAACTCCAGGATTAGGGGGAGCGCAAACACCAACAACAGAATCATAAAAAAAAGATTAAAGGAAAAGAGGCGTCATTGACAGTTTGACACCGTCACACCGAAGAACATGATCATAGCTACTCACATCGAAGCAAGAAGAACAATCGCAACTCTCGGACTCCCCAATCACTCCTCTGCCGGGGAAAGGAAGCAGAGGATAAGAAGATCGGGGAGCACTCCACCTGACAGCTACCATCCTAAAAGTATCCTTGGATGCAAATTACCGCCGGCGAGAAAGGAGTTAGGAGGCTATTCATATTTTTTCTTCATTTTCACAATACCGGTTTAGGAAGTTGTAGCCTTGTAGGTAACCTGGATGAAAAGAGCAAATGAATTTCGTATTATTATAGGATTATTGGTATTTGGCCATTTGGGATTATACTCGAATATCGTCGATAATTGAGATTATTTGCCTGAATTTTTCCAATGTACTCGTAATATATATTTTATATTATGCTATCAATGAAATTTTTCATTCTTTTTAAGTTAATTTTTAATTATTTGTTTTTTCTCACATTTACTCAAGGAAGAACAACACAGTGAGACACAATGAGGAAGTGGTCTAGTCCTTATGGGAGGTCTCAGGTTCAATTCTCAATGGAGCGATATTGATCTCAGTTACCTCAGGTCCCCCAAACTCCCTCCCCCGACGTCCCCTGAAAAAAAAAAAACGAACAACACAAATATTAATTTAGTTTTGTGAAATACAAAGAAGTGACTAATTTTCTTTTCTTTTTTAAAAAATATGACTAACCTTTTGTTTAATTTATATCAAACTTTATATCAAACTTCACCGTTTTCATCATAATTTATATCAAACTTTTGCCCCGCCCCCGCCTGCCCAACCTATTTCCGCGACCGGATCTGTTGCCAGAAATCATCGGGAATGTTGTTGGAGTTTTTTTTCTTTTACTCCAGGAGCGTCTGGGGGAGGGGGTCTGGGGGGCCTGGAGTAATTGGGGTTGAAACTCACTCCATTGAGTTTCGAACCCGAGACCTCCCGTAAGGGAGAGTGAGTTGGCGACCAACTGGGTTTGACCGCTTCCTCTGTTGGCGGAGTTTTTTTTGATGATTTTTTATTCGTTTTTCTCATTCTTTTAAAACGAAGATAAAATCCGCATAAAAAATTTTCGACGGTCACAATGACATGTTTCATGCCTGTATAACTTTCGCAAGTGGTATAAAATAATAAAAATATGACAGTGACCATAAAATATTGGTATAACGTCATTTTCGGTACGGTATGATACCGTACCGATCTATTTCGGTACGGTAACAGTAATTATTTTCAAATACCGCGGTATACCGGTATAATACCGTACCGACTCCCTACTCAACAATTACTTTTAATTCTAATATATTATAGAAATCCATTACAATTTTGAAGCCCAAAATTAATATTTAAGTTGGTTACAAATACAAAAATACAAAAATAAAGACTCAATTTCTCAAACTCACTATAACTCTATAACCTTATAGGTTTCTACTACGTTAACCTTAATAACTAATGAGGAATGTTCAAATGTCAAGAAACAAGTCCATTTTGTTCCAAGAGCTTGCTAGTCGTGATGGTTGGGCCGCTAAGTAGCTGACGAGTGAAGAGAGATACACTTATGTGACAAATGTATCTACATAGGGATTCCGTGAGTCGAGACACACAACTTTGTCCGAAAGTCTTATTCAATTTTTAAAAAATTATAAAACTGACTAAATACACAATATCATATTTGGAATAAATGATTTTATATCTATGTTGTTTGAATAGTTTTACTTATTTAATTTTGTTAGAGATCACTATTGATTTGATTATATCTATATTGTTCAAGTTATTTTAGGAGTATGTGTTACTTTTTAATATGTGGCATGTTGAACTGCTTAAATATACTAATAATAATTATTGTTCATTATTGAATTGACATCAATAGATTATTAATTGTATTTCGTAATATTTTAATAATGAATTTAATATGTCGCTAGAAATACTGATTTACTATATTTCGTTAGTCTGTAATAATTTTTTGTATTGAGAGACATGCACGGTAATTTACCGACACCGTACCGTTACCGAACCGAAACTTCGGTATACCGAAATGCGGTATACCGAAACTTCGGTAGGGTAAAGGTATGGAAATTTTGCATACCGGAAGTTTTGGTATGACAAAGGTATGAGAAAAAATATAAGGTATACCGAACTGAACCACCCCTAACCACGGCAGTATAAATATGTCACAATTGTTCAGCTCAACATCACAGTTCCGATTCATTCCAGAGGTTCAAGAGGTGTTATATGCACCCCTTGGTATACTTTTAAAAATAAAAGCAAATACAATTCATGGTTTTATTTTCACAGTGTTCTATGGTTTACGTTCAATGTAATTGACAGGGAGCAAAGGAGGGCAGATTAATGCTGCAATCAAGAGACCACAACTGAGATTGACAAGATGCTCAAGCAATTTTCATATTCAAATCATATACAAGTAAATAAACAATAGTGTGTATTCATATTCAGGAGTTTCACAAAATGTCATACATGCACATATATGCATATAACGGTTAGTGGATACAGAGTAAATCGTTAGTTACTTCATATCCAATAATATGTATCTATATTCACATAAACATGAATTCTTCAAAAGTTTTTTTTAGGACTACATAATACTACACATATATGTATGAATGTATCAAATAGATGTAAAGAAAAATAATAGACACCGCTATAGGAAACAATTTATATTCAGTTTATTTATATCAAATTCTCACACCAAGTCATGTTTTGAACACATCAAACATAGTGGGTAATGTGTGTGTATGTATTGACTAACACATGCAGTCCTCTTCCAATGCTACGAGCACACTATAAAATACAGAATACAGACCGGTACAGTATGCTGTTTAAATTCAGTTCAATAGTCCAATTTATAAACAACGAAAACTGTGTTGTGCTTTGAAAAACAAATTTATTAAGTTCCAATATTACCTAAGATGAAGTTCAATTAATTCAATCACTTTTAGACTACAATCGTAAATCATTGTAAGATGAAGTTCAATTAATTCATTTGCTTATCAGAGCATTAAAATGAATTTTAAAAATAAACAAGATGTGGTTATAGTTTCAACAAAACAGAAGATATAAAGGACATGGCATAATTAAGATATCCCTTTTGTGATGTCATTTATGCATGGCATAATTTATTTACTGATCAAAAAGGTAATTATCAAGCACGGTAATCATGACTTATAATTTCAAAATTTGGCTACGAGATAAACCTGTTAAACATTCTTTTCTAAAAATATAAATCGGCTAAACATGGGCTGTTTTTCGGTTTGGTTTGGATTAGTTCGGTTTGGGTTTGTTATTTTTGAATTAAATATAAAGAATTTTTTGAATTTCTTTAGTTCGATTCGGTTTTTTATCGATTTTGATTCGGTTGGTTTAATACGATTTTAAATAAATACTATCAAACTCAAACCAAATTGCATACAGTCCGATTTTAGTTTGGTTTTATCTGGTTTGGTTAAACCAAACCGTTATGCCCACCCCGCTTTTTTGTAATACTATCAATCTTCCTTCTTATTCCAAAACACTTTGTATGAATTATGAGCCGTAATTAGTATGAATTATGAGCCGTAATTATTCGATCTTTTCTATTTGCATTCATTTTCACATAAACAAATACTATCGTAAGATCCTATAACAACAACTAATCCTATAACAAATCACATCGCACGGATGAAAATCTATTAAATTTAAAAATGCGTATACACATACGGATATATTTTGCCTGACACCTAACAGTTTCCATCTGGTCCAATCTCGCTCTTCTTACGAACTCCTCGACGCTTCTCTGCGCTTTCTTCCTCCTTCAACGGATTTCCTCTTTCTTTCTCTTCATTACACTGTGATTTGATACATCTCAGATCGCATCTCCTCCCCGAAGCGCAACCATCCATGTCTCACGTTCCACTGAAGGCCGTGACTCTCACGCACGTCCGGTACCGGAAGGGCGATCAGCTGGGCCATTTCCTGGCCTGGGTCTCGCTGGTCCCCGTCTTCATCAGCCTCGGCGGTTTCTTCTCCCACTTCATCTTCCGCCGAGAGCTCCAGGGCATATTCTTCGCCATTGGCTTACTCATTTCCCAGTTCATCAATGAGATCGTCAAAACGTCGGTCCAGCAGGCCCGACCCGAAACCTGCGTCATCCTTGAGACGTGCGATTCTCATGGATGGCCTTCTAGCCACGCTCAATACATGTTCTTCTTCGCCGTATACCTAACCCTCCTCACTCGCAGGAGGCTGGGATCCTTGTTTCGGTACCAAATGTGGGTCGCCGTTCTCGTGATCTGGCCGTTATCGATCTTAACCCTCTATTCGAGAGTCTATCTGGGATATCATTCTGTGGCGCAGGTTTTTGCTGGGGCGGGGCTAGGTGCCGTGCTTGGTGGCGCCTGGTTCTGGGTGGTTAATTCTCAAATTAGACGCCATTTTCCAGCCATGGAAGAGACCGCTTTAGGGAGGTTCTTTTATATTAAGGACACATCAGATATTCCAGATGTATTGAGATTTGAATACGAGAATGCTAGAGCAGCTAGGAAGCATGTTTCTTACAAGCGCTCCCAATGATAATGTGATTCGGTATGTTGGATTTTTGAATCACCTGTTGACTCAAATCATTATTTTCAAGATTTTATTTGTTTGGTTGATGTATATAGTTGTATCACTTCAATAACCTGCAATTATGAATGCTAATAGTCATCAAGTTTGCATCTTGAGAAACATTAGTGTAGCATTCAGGTTATTAAAGAAGGTAAAAGGTAAAAGGATGAGCATGAGAAGTGCTCAGTTTGAACAGATTTCATCCATCACTTATGTTTGTAGTGAAGATGATAAGGACAAACACTTTGAAATGAAGCTATTTTGTTATAGACTTATAGTATCTTCCAAGGTTGTAATGGTTGGGCACTCATGCATTTGTTGAAGGGAATATTCATTAATATGTCGTATGATAAGTAGAATATTTAACTATTATTATTCTTTTTATGGCCAAATGAATACTGTGTTTAGCACGAAACAAGAATACGCTTACATACGGACATGATCCATTTTTAATCCTACTCACAACTATTTCTTTTATTTTAAATAATGACATAAATATGGCCCATGGTTGATGCTTGCTAATATTTTTAAGCCTTGGAGTATTCCCCAATTTGCTTTGGAGGGTGGACTCATATAATGGTGTTGACCAAATTGAATAACAATAAGTTAAGTTATGAGATCATAAACATTTGTCGTATATTGGACCCATTTGGCAAGTTTTCTTTTTTCATTTAGTAGATGGGAGCGGTGGGTGGGTTGTGTTGAATCTTAGTATGATCTCCCTATGATGCTCAGAAACTCATAGGGGGTGACATTTCTACTTTTCTAAATCTTTTATGTAACCTTTAGGAAATGATGTTTTTAGTCTCTAATGAAACCTTTATTACAACCGTTTTTGCTCTAAATAATGTTTCTCGTTGCATGATTATGTTTCCTATTTTGCGTTTGTGTGCTGCTTAGGGTTCTTATACACAAATTCATTTTGATATTCTCTTTGCTTCACACATTAACATAAGCTACATTGTCATGCTACTCTCTGTATTACAAGTGTCAATACTCAATATTTGTCAAGTTTGTGCTTTAAGAAACCTTAAGATGTATGTTGATTACTTTTGTCATTATGTGTATTACTATATACTCATAATGAATTCAATGAAGTTCCAGCTCAACAAAGCATAGTGTGCCACACTAGGATTAACCTGTCTTTCTGTTTCTTGACAGAGGTACTACAACTATAGGAGAATGTATAGAAGAAAGTGGCCTTCTGTTTCCAGTCTGTACTCTTAGTTATAGACTTATAGTAGCTTACAGTGTAATGGTTACTTGATTACACACTATGTAGCACTGAAATGGGAAATGGTATGACGGCCACAGGGAAACAACCGTTTTTAAAGAAGAAAAATATTATTACAAGAAACCCCGAGGGGCAGGTGTAAACATTAGAAAAAACATGGGGGAAACAAGTATACTTCTCATTAAAAACATGGGGGTACAAATATACTTCTCATTAAAGACATGTACAAATATTAGCCAGTCAAAAGTGTCAATAGCTAAAAACAATGATATTGTTATGCTAGAAAGTGCATTTTAAATAATACAGAGTAACATATACTCAAACATAGGATTGACGACACTGTGTGCCTGTGTCGCTGATGTGTTTTCTTCCCTAAAAAGCATGTTTTCTTCTTCTAAGAAATAGATTACAAGTTACTTCATTTTAGAAAACAGCCCTAACACTTGAGTTTTTTAGAAAATGAGTTTTTTTTTCTTTCAATTTTTCTTTGTTCACAGAAATGACGATTGTAGATGTTTATTTATGTATAGAAGTGGCCCCTAACACCCTTCTTGTATGCTACATTCAACATGACATCCAAAAACAAAAAAATATGCTCAGAAATGTGTTTTTGTTCAGTCTTCTTGATGTGGCTAGGTAGCTCATAAACAACTTTTGCTGCTTTGCCCGGATCGAGCTGGCTGGAAGAACACATTGACATGGTTTTAGATTTTATGACCTCATATGACTTGAATATTTGGGCTGTGAACGTTCACTTTTGGGTTTGTGGTTCATACATTTGCAGAAAATGCTGTTTTTTTTATGCCAACCACACACATTTAAAATATTAGATGTATCCCGTTCTCTTCTAACCTTCATACATTCATCTTCCATTTGGGATATCTTTGGAAAATATATCCTTTCAATTTATTTAATTTTTTCCTTTTTTTCAGGATTATAGTTCAGGCTTAAAATACACAACATAGGCTATTATTCTCTGGAAAATATATCCTTTCAATTTATTTAATTCATTTTCCTTTTATTCACGGGAAGCAAGTATTTCAGAATGCTGATCTGGTTGCAGTTTCTTTCTCCAAAATTGCTAGCATCTGGACTGTGAATGTTCTTGCTGCTGGCGTTTGAAGAATCCACGTTGGCACATGAAGAGATAACAGGAAAAAAAAGCATTGACACCTTCTCACATGCGTGTTTTATGGCTTTTTGGACATGTTATACACGTATTGGTTGTGCTTTACATATCTCGGAAAGAGTGGGACTAAATTTTAGAGAAAATTGCTAATAGTATGACTAAAAGAACCGTAGATTTCTAAAATATGATATTACAGTTTTTTATTTCTAAATTAATGGTGTTTTGCATGTATGATGTGTGTTTTGTTGCTATTTTTCTCCCTTCATTCTAGTTACTACTCATAAAAACATGTTTAAGCAAGGAATCCTCCAAATCTCTAAGTTAGTATGTTATTTATGTTATTAATATCACATGCTCTTTAGAGTTGATGAATGAACCAAACTCTTACCTTGAATCAATTATGAGTAGGGTTGTATACGAACCGAATCGAGTCGAATAGTAGGATTTTGTATTTGTATTTGTTTAATTTTTTCGAATACGAATTCGAATTCAAATATGAAACGAATATTAATTTCGATTTGTATTTGTATTTGTTTAACAATACGAATAGTTAACGAATCTTATACGAATATCGAATAGATTTGAGCATAGGTTAAATATTAGTCAAATATCACTTAAAATTAAATTTTCTTATATTTTTTATGTTGTAAATGTACGCTATGATTTAATATGTGTTTTTAGAATTTAAATTCAATGGATCAATGCATTTTAGATTGTGCACGATATACTAAAGTGAATCAATTTTTTGATTAATAAATATAAATCTATTTCAAACTTTTTGAAATTAACACTAACATATACTACATCCATCCCGCTGGAAGGTTCCCATAGCAAAATGACACGATTATTTAGGTGATAATTAAATAAAGTACTTCGGGTATATTTCGAGAAACAATTTTAATAGGTATATATTATAATGTCTTACTATTGATAACGGTTATGTTATAAATGTATTATTTATAATATTTAATGACTAATTTGTAACTTAAGATTGTTAATTGTTTCCTAAAATGGAAATGAGAACCTTCTAATGGGACATCCAAAAAATGAAAGTGGGAACCTTCTAACGGGACAGAGGGAGTACAAATTAGAAATTACACTTATAATGTGTGAAATAAGTTGATAATTGTATATATCAAAGTCAGACGACTCTAATTTTATTATGCGAATCGAATACATAATTACTTGTATTGTATTTGAAAGACATTTGAACCAAAACTCTGATTTTTATTCCTATTTATACTCTGATTTATTACAAATGGACTTAGAATTTGTATGGGTAAATGTATATATGAACTACACTTTAGGGTAATGCTATCTTTTAAAAGTTATTATAGTGTTATTACTATTATTCTTATTATTATTATTATTATAAATATTATCACTATTATTAATCGAATATATTTGATTAATATTCGAATCGAATACACTGATATTCTTATTTGTATTTGATAACAAATCGAATCAAATTTAATATTCATATTTGTATTTGTATTTGAATTTTCCGAATTCGAATCGTCTTATACGAATTCGAATCGCGAATCGAACACAAATTATTTGATTCGTTTACAACCCTAATTATGAGCTTAATAACAACGTACAATTACAGTATCTTGATGTGAGAAACCTATCACAATTACAATATTATTAATATACACATTACAAACAACACACATCGCAGGGTATATCTGGAGTTGGTGTTGGCACAGTATGCAAAGCATAGTCTTCAATTTCAGCATGAAATTCAGTTCCTTGATGGACTTCGATAATTTTGAACTTGTCCTTTGAGATGATGTTCTGCAACACAAATAATAATCAAATGCTAACATATATTTAAGCAAGTAAAGCTACTAATGAAACATCATATTTTAGATGCTTAGATGAAGCTAAACTATTCAAAATTGAAACTGAAAACTTGAAATGTTAAAAAAAACAGTCCCTCTGAAGCAGTATGAAAATGAAGCATTTTTTATTGAATCAATTGTGATTCCAAAGTTTGATTCATAGCCTCTGACAGTGGCCATTATATTTAGGGACTCTAATGGATTAGTAGGAGCTGCAGGGCTTTTACTTGGAGTGATAGGTCTTTGCTTCTTGAGGTGCCTTCATTGAAGTTTGATGACACTTAATTTTTCTCATTTGCTCAACTTCATGCTGCACAAAGCATCAGAATTGGCAAATTACTATCAAAATGAAGGCCTTAACACATCAACCACACACAGACAACTTCACAAGGGCCAATATCACAACACCAACCACAATGCCTACACTGTGACTTGATTTCATCCCAAATTCATGCATTTCTACCAGAAAAATAGTACTCCTTCCGTCCCGTTAGAAGGTTCCCACTTTCCTTTTTGGACGTCCCATTAGAAGGTTCTCATTTCCATTTTAGGAAACAATTAACAATCTTAAGTGACAAATTAGTCATTAAATATTAAAAATAATACATTTATAACGTTACAATTATCAATACTAACACATTATAATATATACCTATTAAAATTATTTCTCAAAATATACCCGAATTATTTTATTTAATTATCACCTAAATAACCGTGCCGTTTTGCTATGGGAACTTTCTAGCGGGACGGAGGTAATACTATTTTAAACATATAAAAAGATACTCCGTAATAAATAAACAATAATTGAGCTAATACATGAATACAAATTTACTAATTCCGTGGTAGTCTTTGAAAACAAGAATCCAATAATGCCATGTTGAAATTTGAGTGAAAACAACAAAACAATACAGAGGAAGCAAGAAGGGGAACGTATCTGTTAGCAATTATTTTACGCAACACGAAGAACAATTAAAGAACACACGAAATTTGGTAACCCAGTTCGCCACGAATGACTACGTCAGGGGGCGCTACCAAGCCAGGAATATTATTGCTATTTTCGGATCCACACACATGATTACAAGGGAGAGAGCTTGTATTTATAGAGAAGTAAAACCTAACCCAAAGGCAACTAGGATGCGTTTCCAAAAATAAATTAAGAAACGTGTTTCCAAAAATAAATTAAGAAAGACTTGGTTATACAGTCTCTAACACCTTACAATCTCCCACCTTGAGACCGTCTTCTTCAAATCCTCCCTTGTTAGCATGGTAGCGCCGACCTTTCAACTTCAAGTACCAAAGCTAATTGAAGCTATGCAAAGGTTCAATTTCTCCAAGGTTACCACCTTAGTAAACATGTCTGCTGGATTCTCACTCCCACGGATCTTCACAAGCTGCAATGCCTCTATCTCCAGAAGATGACGGATGTAGTGATACTTCAACCGAATGTGTTTGGTTCTCTTGTGAAAAGCTGAGTTGTTTGCCAAGAAAATAGCACTTTGACTGTCACTGTAAAGAATGCTATTCTTGTACTCCTTCCCAAGTTCCCCAAGTAAATTATGAAGCCACACCATCTCCTTACTTGCCTCCGTAATGGCGACATATTCAGCTTCAGTGGTAGATAATGCAACAATCTTCTGCAGCTGCGAAAGCCAGGAAAATGCCATTCCACCAAATGTAAAAACATACCCGGTGGTGCTCCTCGATCCATCCGAGTCATTTGATGCCAAGTTTGCATCAACATGTCCCAGCAGCTCTACATTCTTCCCATCAAAACACAAAACATTAGAAGCAGTACCTTTCAAATACCTCATGATCCACTTCACAGCTTCTCAGTGTTCTTTCCCGGGGTCTCCTATGTATCTGCTCACTACTCCCACCGCATGTGCAATGTCTGGCCTCGTGCATACCATAGCGTACATGATGCTGCCAACTGTCGAGGCGTAAGGGACCTTCTGCATTTGAGCACGCTCCTCCTTGTTCTTCGGTGAATCTTCTTTATTAAGCTTGAAGTGACTATCCAGTGGTACAATTGCTGCCTTTGCATCTTGCATTCTGAATCTTTCTAGGACCTTCTGAATGTAGTCTGCCTGTGAAAGAAACAATCTGCCCGCTGCCTCATCCCTCTCGATTCGCATGTCGAAAATCTGTTTTGCCTCTCCAAGATCCTTCACGGAAAAACGTTCTGACAACTGTTTCTTTAGCTTCTTAATCTCCTTTGAACTAGCTCCTGCAATCAATATATCATCAACATATAACAGCAAGATAAGATAACAGTTCTTGGTCCTCTTGTAGTAGCAGCAATTGTCGGTGTGGCGTCTCAAGAAATTTATGTCCCTCATGAAATCATCAAATTTCTTGTACCACTGTTTCAGTGTCTGTTTCAACCCGTATAAGCTCTTCACTAGCTTACATACGAGATCCTCACTACCTTCTGCCACGTAGCCCTCCGGTTGCATCATGTAAATCTCATCATTCAGATCACCATGAAGGAATGCAGTCTTCACATCCATCTGATGTAACAACAAATTCTCTGCAGCAACTAACCCCAACACTAACCGAATAGTAATTAGTTTCACAACTGCAGAGAATATGTCGTTGTAATCGATACCATACCGCTACTCGAATCCCTTCACAACCAGCCTAGCTTTGTAGCGTTTGCTACCATCTGCCTCCTTCTTGATGCGGTAGACCCACTTGCAGTGCAAAGCCTTCTTTCCTCTCGGTAGCTCAACTAACCTCCAAGTATCATTGGATGTGAGAGATGTCATCTCATCATCCATTGCAAGTTTCCACTTGCCCTTGTCATCAACCCGAACTTCCTCTGCATAGGACTCTGGTTCACCACCATCAGTAAGCAACAAATAGAAATTAGAAGGTGAATACCTATTTAGTGCTCTCTGGTTTCTGGCAGGCCGCTGCCTTGATGGGGTTGATGGATCTTCATCACTGGTCACTTCTTCATTCTGATCCTTCTCGCTCCCACCCGAGTTAGAGATATCCAACTCTATGATCTTCGGAATGTCTCGCTCAGAATTAGATGCACTCAATCTGTCCTTGTACATAATCTGTTCGTTGAAGACCACATCTCGGCTACGAATAATCTTCCTATTATGATCATCCTAGAATCTGTATCCATAGTCATCACCACCATATCCAACGAACGTACACTTCACAGATTTTGCGTCTAGCTTGCTTCGGTCAACGGAACTGAGATGAACATAAGCAACACAACCAAATATGCGTAGATATGACAAATTAACCTCCTTACCCGTCCACCTTTCTTCAGGTATGCCATTATCCAATGAGATCGTTGGACTTCTGTTGATGAGAAAAGCCGCGGTGTTCACTGCATCCGCCCAAAACATCTTCGGTAAACCACTCTTCAACCTTATGCATCTAGCCCGCTCATTCAGTGTTTTGTTCATGCGTTCAGCAACGCCATTATGCTGCGGAGTCCCTTTAGTT